GATGTCATGTATGTACTAAACGACTATGTGGTCCCCAAAATAGCATTTTTTGGGTTTACATGCCCTTTAACGAGAAGCCGCAAATGACCTATGGAACGTCAGGAGATAAGTTGACCCATGAGAAACTTGACACAGCCTAAAGACATGACCGCAAACAAAAGCGGTTGTGTTCCTAATTAGGCGCTTTGACAAGGTCTGTGCACCCAGAACGTGCACAGGAACCACACGAAATTGCAAACGTCGTTTCAGTTCGTCAAGTAGCAGAGAGGGTGATTGGGGATATAGATCACGTTCACGGAAAACAAAAAGGCCTTTTCACAATTCACGAAAACTGATATAATATTGGCATTTTACGCTTCACGGAAAATAAAAAAAAGAACGTTCTGGAAAATCACGGCTCACGACTACTAAGACAAATCCAGTGCACGCATTATATCTCACTTTATTAAGATGTTCAATTTCACCGGTTTAAATAACTTGGTCGATGTCTACGATAACGCAGACGGAACTTGCAACAATACTCTGACAAAGTTTGTCCAGTCGAATATACCCGTGACTCTTGGCTTCAAAGGACTATTGCTGAACTCTTAGAAACGGTTTAGCTGGGTCAAGAGCTCTCTGTGTGTTGCTAAAAGGTTTTTTACCAACCTCTTACTCCAAATTTTATTCGTTGGTTTCTGTCACAATCGCTTCAGTCATGAGTCCTTGCGGCTTCTGTCGTGAGTCTTTTGCGGTGATCGCCTCACGAACAACTAAAGATTGCTTTTGCTCCGAATCATCCCGGCTTCTGTCCTGAGTCTTTTGCGGTGATCGCCTGACGAACAAGTAACGATTGCTTTTGCTGCGAATCCTTGCGGCTTCTGTCGTGAGTCTTTTACGGTGATCGCCATACGAACAACAAACGATTGCTTTTGCTGAGAATCCTTGCGGCTTCTGTCGTGAGTCTTTTGCGGTGATCGCCTGACGAATGACTAATGATTGCTTTTGCTGCGAATCCTCGCGGCTTCTGTCGTGACTCTTTTGCGGTGATCGCCTGACGAACAAGTAACGATTGCTTTTGCTGCAAATCCTTGCGGCTTCTGTCGTGACTCTTTTGCGGTGATCGCCTTACGAACAACCAACAATTGCTTTTGCTGCGAATCCTTGCGGTTTCTGACGAACAAGTAACGATTGCTTTTGCTGCGAATCCTTGCGGCTTCTGTCAAATCTGAGTCTTTTACGGTGATCGCCATACCTTCTTTAAAAGGCTGACAGGGGAGTACACGTAGAGGCTGGAACATGGCGATGGCGGGAAAGCGAGACAGCTTCGTAAGCGTGATACTAACTCATCTGATAATCTTCGGTATCATCTTCAGCTACAGCAGGAAAAAGACCCTATGGCATAAAACTGTCGACAATGGCCAAGATTCAATGGGAATTGCATTGCAATGCCTCCACCAACATAGCTTACGGCTTCCTGAACTTGCGCTTGAGCTGAACCACAGGCGCCATTTTGGCTACTCGAGGACCTCCTCCAATGGCTTCTTCAGTGGTAGGATAACCCGATATCGCAACAGCGTCTCCACCTTTCATCTGTCTCGTTTGTTTATTAGTTGGGATGTCGATTTAAACCCTGGCCTAAACAACGAGAAGCCGAAATGTCATAAGTGCTCGAGATCTATAGCTCGCAACCATCGATCACTTAACTGCAGCTCTTGTGGTTTTAAATACCATATCAAGTGCGGAGAGGTCGCGGTAAAGCAATTCAAGCAAATTCAAACATACGACCCATCGATCTGGACCTGTTCAGCATGTCAACAACATCCTACACCGGAATGGGACACGAACTTCACGCTATTACAATCACTCCCTTATTCTTCTATTTCAAATGATTCATTCCTAATTATGGCGGATTCTATGGATACAGCAATAACTCCCAGTCAACTACACAAAGAGGTTGACGAAAATCATTTATTGGACCTCGCACAGAAGCTGGACACTCACTCAAGTAAGGATCTTAGAGTGGCACACTTGAACGTATGCAGCCTAAGAAATAAGATCGAGGAACTAAGGTGTTTACAGTTAATATGCAGATTTGAAATCCTTGCCATAACA